CTGTGATTTGATATTGTGCTTGGGATTGACTAGACAGATGTCTCTTCAAAACACCGGGGAAAGAAGAAGGACTTTCAAAATCCAGCTCTTTATCATAGAAAAGAGCCCCTAGGCCTTTGTCAACCTACAAAGCAGGCAGTTGGTCCAGGATAGCTCTTCCGTGTTTAGGAAGAATTTAACTCCTTTCCCTAGAATATTAATAAAACGCAAAAATCTAATACTAATAAACTCATTTCTATTCACGGTAAATGATGGTCCAGCGTATTTATAAAATATTGTACTAATGGAAAGTTTCAAACGTAAGACGGAGACAGAGAAACAGACACTATTTGTGAGGAACTGTTTAATTTTATTATCAAGCTTTAGTGTTAATTTTATTTTTCGAAGATGTTTTATGTAGAGAAAAAGGAAACATGAAATCTAAGTGTTCCAACCAGGTAAGTAAATGAGATGACTAAATCCAGAAAACTCAAACATTAAAATAATTCAAAGATAAAATTAAAAAGAAAAATAAAAGAACCACTTGAAAAACTGTACAGTTACCTCTATTAGCTAAGAAAAAGAAGGGTGAAAAAAAATTGGCTAAGCAATTTATATGAATTTTTAAATAACATATATAGTGAAAAGAAAAGCTCAGAATTCTCTGGTTTGAGGAAGTTTATTTCTCAGGTAGGTCAAGTTTATTTCTAGGATAGCAAATGGTGGTACCTGAAGGCACTACAGAGTAACCGCGCAGGGACTAAGCAGCTCTGTATCTTAGAAGCTCTCAGAGGTCACATAGAACAAGGTTGCTTCCAGCAAAGCAGAAAGTAGCAACAAAATGAAAACTCCATGAAGTAGCTTAAGGTTAGATGGACTAACTTACATTAAATAGTGTTCTGTAAAACACATTAATTATATAAATTACGACAGCTTATTCTTATTTTGAGCTTTGAAACACCTCATTTTACTTGATCTTTTCATACCTACCCTAAATGATGCTCTTCATTACAGTTTTCTTATTTGATAGAAGGGATGTGGAGGCTCAGAGCAATTATGTGATTTCCCTGATAAGACACAGACATGAAGTAAGATCTTCCAAGACCAAGCCCAGAGCTCTTTGTAACTGCATAAAGTTTGAGTGCGGATATTCATTGTTTTTCATTTTTTTCCTTTTTTTTTTTTAAAAAAAAGAAGGACTCAAAAATTTTCTTTGTCCTTCCCAAGAAGGCAATTGTATTTTTCTAGCACGTTGATAGTGAGAGAAAGTACATATGAATTTTAATTCAGAATCTCCTATCTATGTTTTATCTAGTGTGTTTTCCAAGATTAAAACATCACAGCCCTCTTTATAAGAACTATAGCTGGATATAAGTAGACTCAGCAACATTTTCTACAATGGTAGCATCTAGGTTGGAATAAGTCCCTAGGTAGATCTTTTATCTCTTTGTATGCCCTCTTTCAAAAGGTGTTACCTTCCCTTATTCCTCCCAGTACAGTTGGAGAATGTTTGCATCTAGTTTTTGCCAGCTTCCCTGTGGAACAGAGAGCAACTGCTTAACAAATGGCAGGTTTATGTAAGAGGAAATCTCCACGGTTTAACATGCTTTTGTTTCCTGCCAGTATGTACCTTCTGTTTTTGTTCACGCGTAATCATCATGTAACCTGTTCAGAAAGGCAAAGAAACCAAGGCTTGAGGAAATGGCTATTCAAGCAATTACTTCCACACTGATGTTCCAATTCTTGGTCCAAAAGACTTTCCATGAGACTGGGGACTCCAGTAGCTGGGGCTACTGTATGCAGAAAGCTGGACATAAAATGATGCCACAAAGTCCCTGGTAAAATCAGTACATTGTCAAAAAAGCCTCATCATCATTTGAATGAAGGCTTCTCTCTAGAGAGAACCTGTTTCAGTGGCACAAAAGTACTTTGCACATATCTAAATTGTTATATTTCCCTAAAGAGAGGATAATGATTTTTCTATGGTCTCCTCTACATTTCGAGGTTTGACAGATAGGGACTGAAACTAAATCTATTCATCAAGGTCCTGCTGCAGATGTGTTTTCTACAGATGTCTGTTGGATAAGTGGATGAGCCATTACTGTAGAGTGGTGTTCCAAAATCAGAAGGGTTTGTATTTCAGTGTCACGGATTCACGTGAATCAAGTCACACTCACAAAAGGATAGCATATATTATTTTATTTATTTATTTATTTTAAGATGGAGTCTCGCTCTTGTTGCTCAGGCTGGAGTGTAATGGTGCTATCTTGGCTCACTGCAACCTCCACCTCCTGAGTTCAAATGATTCTCTTGCCTCAGCCTCCTGAATATCTGGGATTATGGGCAAGGGCCACCATGACTGGCTAATTTTTCTTTTTTTTTTTTTAATTTTTAGTAGAAACAGGGTTTCACAATACTGGCCAGGCTGGTCTCAATGTCCTGACCTCAGGTAATTCACTCACCTCGGCCTCCCAAACTACTGGGATTACAGGCATGAGCCACCTCGCCCGGCCAGGCTGAGTATTTTATATTCATGAGAGAAAAGAAAAGCCACTTCTCCATGGTGTGGTAGGCATAGATTTCCTTAGACTGGTCCACATCTTGGAGAAAAAGATGCTGTCTACCTAATAGCGGAGCTCATTTGTGCACTGAACAACCATGCTTTGAGCATCAACCAGGTGAGAGTACTATACTGGACACTAAGAGAATAGAACAGTGAAAACAACCTAATTCTTTGAGTCGATAAGATATAATCAAGAGATTAAACATGTAGATTGCTAATATAACTTTAAGGGAGAATAAAATGAATATCATAATGATTGAAAAATGTAAGAGAGAAGGTTAGGATGTAATGGATATTATCTTCTCATAGAGATTTTGGTATTTTGAACCATCCAGAAATGTGGCAATGGGACTAGAAAAAAAGGGAGCATTAAAAAAAATCTTTAAGAAGATTTGGAGAATGACTGGGATTGGCAATTGTAAAACACAGATTAATTGAAAATGGTTTCAAAATAGGTAGCGAGAGGAGATTGTTGAGCAAGTATTTTCCTAAGGAAATACGAGAGGATTTCCCTAAATTGAATATAGGAAAAATTTTGTGGGAGATTATTCCTGAGTAAATTTGATATTTGAAATGTTTACAAGTTGTATTTTGCTCATTTAAAAACTCTAAATTCAGGCCGGGCGCGCGCGGTGGCTCACACCTGTAATTCCAGAACTTTGGGAGTCTAAGGCAGGCGGATCACCTGAGGTCTGGAGATTGAGACCAGCCTGACCAGCATGGAGAAACTCCATCTCTATTAAAAATACAAAAAATTAGCCAGGCATGGTGGCACATGCCTGTAATCATAGCTATTCTGGAGGCTGAGGCAGGAGAATCACTTGAATCCAGGAGGTGGGGGTTGCAGTGAGCCAAGATCCCGCTATTGCACTCCAGCCTGGGTGACAAGAGCAAAACTCCATCTCAAAAAAAAAAAATTATAAATTCATGAAGGTGGGCCAGATTTAGTGACTCACTTTCAAAGAACGGAATATTGAAAGGACAAATAATTTTACAATAGAAAAACCTGGTATGAAATATCTTGGAGAATGTTAATGTCATCAGTGACATCATGCCGATATGTGTCAGCTGACATGATGTGACCAGTAAGGCATTCCACCTCTGATACATTTTACCAAGAACTATAACTGGAGTCTAATCATGAGAAAACTTTAGATGATCCCAAAGTGACAGATATTCTACAAAATACCTATCACTTCTCAGAACCGTCAGGGTAATACAAAACAAGAAAAGACTGAAAAACTATACAGAGCACGGGAGATGGGATGTTTAAAGGTAATGTGCTATCCTAGACAAGATTCTCAAACAGGAAAAAGACTGAGTAGAAAAACTCATGAAATATGAATGGAGTTTAAGTTTTAGTTAATAGCAATGTAGCAATCCTGGTTTCTTAGTTTTGATAAATGTTCTAAGGTAATGTACGATGATAACATTAGGGGAAACTGACAATGTTTGCACTCATATTATTGGTCAATATTTTGAAGGCTGATATGCTGTGATGTAATGATAATATCATTAACAATAACAGCAAGCCCAGTTTCTAGAGCACTTTCACATATGCTGACTCATGGTGGGACAATGTTAGCAGGTTGGCAGAACAGGGATTTTTTTAATGTCCATTTTATAAATGAAGAGGCTGCTCAGAGTTGATCAAAACGGAACTTAAATTATGATCTTATTATACTGTGTTATTTTTACTTTCACAAAGTATTAGTAAAGACAGACCGATGTACATATGTGTATCGATGGTGAATGATGTAAGAAGCATGGGGGTGGGGGAATAAAGAATTTGAAATGACAATCAAATTTCAAGTGAAAGGAAAACTATTGAGGACTGAAATCTTAAGAATAGTGAGCTGACGTTCTGCTTTTTGAAGCTCGCAGATTTGCTTTTTTCTTTCACCTGTTTCTCTTACGTATCAGAGAATTTCCTAATAAAAATAAAGTAACCTAATTATTACAGCTTTGTTAGTCTGTAAAATTATTGCTCTTTGGAATCCCTGAACCACATTTCCAATTCTTTTGCTTCCACTGGCCCCATCATCACACGTGTCTAAAGCTGACTCATAGGTCATGAGCATAAGAAATTTGTTACAATGATTCTGCTTGTACTTCAGTGTGGTATTTTTTTCTTAATTAATTTTCCTTGTCCTGATTACAAGAGCTGCACCAATAGCTTTGAATAGGTGGCACACACTCATAATGCGGTTTGCTCATAGTTTAGAAACAGCAATATTTAAAAAATATAAATTTTCTGTACATCTGCAACAAGCCCTCCCCCATTTTCGATCTCATTCATTTTCTAGCAGCATAAATCAGAAAGCAAAACCTTTGTTGCTTGAGAGGTCCTGCTTTGCCTTTTCTAAAGGGTGTTCTTAAAGATGAAATAATTATGCTGCTTTCTTGGATCCAGCTTTCAAAGGAAGAATCTCCTGCGGACACTTGTGTACACTTACATACGAAAATGGATGTTTAAACGCAGGTAGATGAGTATTTGTCCTAAAACGTGATCTTCCTTGTTGATGCTGGAGCTTGAGGAGCTATCCCTATGCTCTGCTGCCACCTTGGCAGCTCAGAAGGATTTACAACGGAGTTCTGCACAGGGAGAGCTGGAAGCAGCACTCCCACAGCCTCTCGTGGGGCTGGCAGCGCTCAGAAAGGCATTTGAAACGGATGTAGACTTGGGTATATTGCTGAGAGAAATTATAATACCTCTCTGATGGGAAGACACACTTTCTCTGTTTTTAAATAATTCAATTTCAGCAAGATCTATGTGTCTGCCCTCTGAATGCTCTGTAAAGGCTCCGTATTTCTTTCTTTCTTTCCTTAGTCCGGAATAGAGACAGAAGAAGGATTCGGTTGAAGATGTCCGTGTGTGGATCTGAGTTTGCGCTCTGAGCGACGTCCTGGCTCATTTGGGTGTGACGGTGACAGCATAGGTGCTCTGCTGACAGTTTCTTCTTGTCTAAGCTTCCCTTCCGCGTCCACGATATGACTCGCTTCCACTCCAGTTAACTTCTTGGAAGTCCAGAGTACTTAGTCAAAGCTGTTTACAAAATGCAAAGCATCTGGGCGGCCAATGCAGAGTCTTCTGCATTCTCTATGCGACTGCCTCCAAAAAAGAGCTGGGAAATTTGGCGGATCAAAATGTAGGCGCTTAAAGCTGACCTGCTGCTGTCAATGTTGGGACTTAGATACATTTTTGCATCGTCATTCTTGTGTGTGTTTCCCGTTTATTCCATTCGAAGGCTCAGGCTCGCGCTGTCTTGCGCGCGCGCTCTCCCCTCTCTCACCATTTCCCATTCACACATCAAACTCCATCCTCCGCATCCCCATCTTCCGGTGTCTTCGTCTGAGTTCTGTGAGTGTGTGTCATTAGGCTTACTCGGACACTGGATGGGTGAGTTGGAGGCGGCTTTCCTTGCGGTTTCATTTACACTTGGCATGGGTGGGTGGGCGCCCTCCACAACTCGTCTTGCACAAGGAACACAGTTAAAATAAAATCTATAGCTAGAACCATCGAAGAGTTCTGAATCTTCAAAGTGCAGCTAGGACAGGAAATAATACAGGGTCGGGGGTGTGTGGAGGGGGGCAGAGAGCAGAAAAGTAAAGGAATAAAACCAAGTTCGCTGGCAACTTCAACAAATCCGGTAACTGGTGGCAAAAAATAGACTCTGAGGGCTGGGTCTGGTCCGGATGAAACGCTAGGGCTCCTTCCCATCCTTGAGTCTTGGCGCTGGAAGCCAGCCACGGGCGTCTTGCCACGCGAGTGCCCCTAGACAGCAACACACCCACTGGAAACGCACGTGAACAAAGCTCTCGCCCCCGGGAGCAACCGCCTGCGGTTTCCTGGTCGATCCTTGCTTCTCTAGGGAGCGTCAGGCGCACACAGGGTTAAGTTAGTTCCCTCCCTGGTAGGAGGGAGAGGAGGGGGAGGGGAAAAGCAGCACACTGTCTCAGGCTCGGTACCTAGTAGTTAGTTGTACGTTCGAAACCTGTCGCGGTCACTTGCGCGTTTGGCATTATCCATTGTCACCGCGGAGGAACGGGCACTGGAGATAACATTAGTGCCCACAAATCTCCGCGCCAAGGCGCTGCGCTACTCCCTTCCGAGGTGCACCTCTGCTCCTCCGTCCCGGGTGCCCAGCAGTGGCGAGGCGGCACCTCCGCTGCCGCCGCCGTGTCCACCGAGCCTCGGGACCAGGGTGGCAGTTCTCAACGATGGGCAGGAGGGACCTCGGCGGTGACCCCTAAAACAATACCATGCCCCGGGAGCCCAGCTGCTGCCGCGCCAGCGTCTTCCCTTTCCACCTCCCCGACCCTGTCGGATTCGGATGAGCCCACTGCGAGGAGAAGACGCAGCCATCAGGTAAAAGGGGCTGCGGTGCCAGGTGAAGTTTCCAGCAACCTGCCGAGCTGCTGCTAAGCTGGCACCACGCTGTCTCTTTGGGGGATTTTTTTTTGAAACAGCGGGGGTGATCATTTTAAGTGGGGTGTTCTAGGCTTTGTCTTTCACCTGGAGAGAAAATAGGCAGCTTAGCTCTCTCTGGACTTTAGAGAGAGCTGTTTGTTGGTCGAGTTCACCTCCTGTAAGGAGCTTCATAACTGAGTTCCGGGTCAAAACGCAAATTTGCTTGCCTTGTAGATTCATCGATGCTAAATTGAGGTTCCCAGAGCCCCTAACCTTGCCAGAGTTCAGCCTCTTACTTCCCCGATCGAATCTCTCAACTTTCACGAGTAACAATCCTCTCCCCTCCACAAGCTGTTGTTAATGTCACCAGCGTTATTATCAAGCGGTTGTATCTAAAGACACCAGCCTGCTACCGGCTCGTAATCTGGGATCGATTAGTAGTTAAACAGATGCGGTGGATACTAATTCCTTTTCCTTCCAGTTAGGAGGTAGGGGGATGGTTTTTCCAAACCAAGTCCCTTCCAGCCCTGCTTGTCCTCTTCGGGCTGGCGGGCACTGAGCTGGGGCCGTCGCGCCTTTCTAGAGCGTCTGCGGAGGTGGCGAAGACTCGGGGAGCACAGGCGGCGGAATCGGGATCGAGTTCCCTGGAGCCGCGGGCGTGGGACGCAGGGAGAGGGCGAATAACGCCCCCAGGCGCTGAATGCAGGGGCAAGGAGCCAGCGAGGGTGGCTGGAGCCAGCTGCCACCGAGTCTCTGCACCAGCTTCGGCGCTCAGTCTACTCCTGGAAAGATCCCTCCGCCGCGCTGACCGCTAAGGGGCTGGTCCCCGCACTTTGAGCGCCAGCGTGGTCTTTTCTCATTTGTAATCAAGCCCAAGATCAAGGTTGCAAGTTGAGGTCAGGGAAAGGAAGCCCCAGGGAAAGGAAGTCATATGGGGAACAGGGTGACTGGGACGGGCTGGATCCACACTTGACACCCGGGAAACTCCTATAGCGTGTGGGGCTCCGGCCATCAGCAGTTACTGGTGGAGCTGAGGCCACCGCTACTGTCGTCGTTGGCGCTTTGCTCCTGGAACCTCCCAGCAAGATGGCACTCACTATCTATTCCCTCCCGATTAGCGCCCCTAGCCGCGCCCCCTCCTCCCCGGGTTGTGTCACACAGTGTGGGGAGAAGACGGAATGTAAGTCTACGCGCTTTCCTAGTCACCTTTGCATAATGCAACAGGAACAGCGACCCGCACGCGCCAACCGGGTAGTGTGCGCGCGTGTGTGAGCGCGTGTGCCAGCGTGCGTCTCCGCGCGGGCGTGCGTCTGGGTGGATCCTTGCGTGGCTTCGGAGGCAAATCGGGCGTTTCTCCAAGTCTTCTTAACATGATTTAGGCTCTCAGATACGTGAAGGTGGTAGACACAACAGGGATGCGAAGGAAATAAAAAACAATTGGGGAAGTAGTGCCAAGTTACTCAGGCTTTGAACTGAGGACGAGGAGCGCGGTTGCGCCTGGGGCGCGTCCGGAAATCATCTTCTGCCAGTGGCGGCCAACGCCCCAGTTCAACTCTTCTTCGGCGAGAGCTGAGTGGATCCCTTGGGGGGGTTGGTCCTGGGCTAGTTTAAAACTCTCGGGTTGCATCTCGCGTGGCCCCACAGACGGCGCGTCTCGGCGTAGCTCTTGGCGCGGGCTCGTTCTCCCTCTTCTGTTCAGATTGAGCCTCACCGGACTTGTTATAACATGACAGCAACTTACTGGAGGCAGGAGGAGCAGCATGAAATGAGACGAGAAAACCAAAAGCATCTCTTCCTCCCGAAAAAGAGACGTGCACCTGTTTTTGTTTGTTTTTTTACATTACACTTTAATCTTTGGAAAGAGATTGCGAAGTGGAACGTTGCTTGTACACAAATCAGGCTGCTTAGCTGTCAAGACTGTTTCCTAATTTTTAGGCTGAATCTCTGGTTGTCTGCTGCAGTCTATGGGGAAATTTAACAGCACTTTTGCCAGAAGCAGCCAGGGTGAAGGAGGAAAGTGGGAGTGTTTAAAATAATCCTATTAAATTCTGGATTATTCCCCCAGTTAAAGTCATTTAAGAAGGTCCAGGATGAGGGAACTAGTGATGGGGTGAGGAGTGGGGAGCACATCACCAAGGTTGCCTGCATTTGAAATAACGCCATTTTGGTTGAGAGGTTTGCTAGATTTTACCCTCTAATCTCAAGTTTCCATCATTTCTCAGTGTCTAAGTCATAGATCCTACGGCTTGGCAGTACAACATTAAGCAGGCATGGGGAAAAGCGCCTTTCAGGGTTCAGATGGTGGCATTATCCCTAAGGGCTGGTGGTAGGGACGGCCTGTGCCAGGTGGAGAGAGAGAGAAGGTCAGGGTGGCATCTGCCCTGTTAGTCCGGCGCTCTGCAACTCTTTTCAGAGAGGACAGGGTTAAAAGCCAAGTCTGACTTCGCCTCTTGGAAATCGCTGGGTAGCAGCCGCGCCTCCCAAGCATTCTTTAAACCAGAAAAGTGGGAGGGACTCCGGGAGAGAGGGAGGGAATGAGGGAGGGAGAGAAAGAGGGCTCTAGAAGCCGAGCGCGCCAGAGCGCGAGGGACGGAGGGAGAGGAGGAGCGCGGGAGCTGCGGAGGCGATCCCGCGAATTCATTACTGTAAACATCTCCGGGGGTGTCAGGAGGGGTGGGGGTGGGGGCCGCGGCGCCTACATTAGCCCGGCCGCGTCGGATTGAGGCAGCAGTGTGGTCGGAGCAGCCTCCAGACCCACGCCGGGCGGGCGCAGCACTTGGAGCGAGCCCCGCGCCCGCCCCCGCGCAGCGCCGCACGCCGGGCTCCGCGCTCTCCTCACTCACGCGTCGGAGGAGCGCCCGCCTAGCTCTCACGCCGAGTCCCGGGATCCTCCAAATCCGAGGAGCTCCGGCGCCGCGGGGCCGCCTTCCGTCGCCTTCCCCACTCGCCGTACTTCTTTCGGGGTTCGTTGGCTCGGCGCAGCGGAGGGGGAGGCGGAGGAGGAGAGAAGGCGGGGGCCGCGGCGGCCGGAGCCGAGAGAAAGTCGCATGCCCGAACCCTGGAGGCGGAGGTGGCGGAGGACGGGGGAAGACGATGCCGCAGCTCCGTAGGCGACGTAGGCGAGAGCGAGCGAGGCCAGCTGGGCGCCCCGGCGCCGGCCCGCTGCGGGGAGGCGCGCGCCGCTCTGAGGCTCCGGCCTCCGCACCCCCGCGCCTCGACGCTGCGGGCGATAGGGCTCGGCTCCAGCAGCCGCCGCCGTCGCCGCTGCCGCCACCCGGAAGACCCAGCAAAAGTTTGGATCTGGGGGAGGGCGCGGCGCTGAGCGGGATTACCACCAGGGCTGGAAGGAGACCTCGAGAACCTTTGCAGGTAAAGCGCGCCCCGACCCTCTCCTCCCATGCCGGGCGGCTGGGCTCCTGCTTCTTCCCAGAGCCTTTCCTGCCCTCGCGCGTCTGTCGGAAAGTAAGAGGGAGGCGAAGTTCAAGGTCCCGGGGATGGGCACCGAGCGCTGGCAGATCTCTAGTCACGTTAGAGGGGCAGCTGTACGGACAGGCGCATTCCCCCCGGAGTGGATGAAAACCCTCGGTCCCAGCTGGTGCCACATCTTGTAGCTCTTTGGAAATTTGGAATGTGAATTCAGGGGCTTTTAGTATTCTTCAGTCCAGAGAAATGGTTCATGGCGTTCACTTACCGCACCGCCCCCGCGTTCACACTCTTACCCCTGTTTAGAATTTTTAAAAAATGATTTGAGCCCATTCCCTACTCGCCTGCTTCGTTTAGCTGGACAGCAAATTTCAGGGGTGAAAAAAGCTGCAAGCAAAGAGGAAAAAATGTCCTTTCCTTTTTGGACATCCCTGGAGTCCTCCTTCACTCCCTTCAGCTTCTGGCGTCTCTAAATAGGAACTTTAGAAGTTACATTTTCATTGAGGGATGAGGTGAAACGTTGTTAGCTGTTGGTGATATGAATTTGCCACGATTGTCCGTGTGTGTGTGTGTGTGTGTGTGTGTGTGTGTGCGTGTGTTTGGGGGAGGGGGTTGGTGGTGTTGCAGAGAGGCGGAATTTTTCTCGGTGGCCTGACGCGCAATCGTCCCAGGGTAGTGAGTGGCCGAGTGTGTTCATTGAGGCGGGGGCCGCGGAGAGAAGACGGTCACGTTTCCCGAACAGCAGCATTACTTAAGCTAAGAAAATAGCTGCAGCTCACTCCAAAAGCAAAAAGATTCCAGCCCCAACTCCCCGACGCCCCCTTTCCCCTAACTGAGTTTTGAGTTTCAAAGCAGCTCTCAGCCTTTGCCGCTACTACCTTTATTATGATCGTTATTTATTCACCTGGAAACTCATCCTGTCTTCTCTTGTGAATGGGAATCAGCCTTGAAGAGCTGTTGATTAATTTTAGTAAGGGAATCTCTTGTACAGCTTACAGTTAGCTAACCAAGTGCAAGGCACAAATCCGTGTAGCTCTCGCAAGAGTGCAAGGTGCTGATTAGATTTCTTTACATGTTGTATTTGCTATGCAAAGCCTCTTCTAAATGGGAGCTATTGCTCCCCACTCAGCTGGGAGGCTCCTTAATCACACTGGGTTTCAGGGCGCTTTGGAGCATGTCCACTCGCTCACAGGCTTATTGCTAAATTTATTATGTCTCACTTCTCACAGCCAAAAGCTAATACGAAGGCTGGCTTCTATATCAGACCGATATAATCTGTAGGCTTAACCGGTGTGACCTTACTAAATATCCAATGAGAAAGCCCCCCCAAACATTTTTGAGGTAAATAGAATGCAGATTGCTGTTTGACCAGGGATCTATTAGGCTGTTGCAGTGTGAATGTAAAATTTTAGGTCAGTATTTGACGTTTTAGGACTAGATTCTTATTTATTTTCATTACTGAACAACATGGGCCAGCTACCTATGATGGGAAAGCCACCAGCCACCATATTAGCAGAGAATCAATCTGTGGGTAA